CAATCTGAAGAATAAAATGCAAAGTTCACCGTTTCGGAATTCTTGTATTAAGTCAGTGCTGTTTCTATACTGAGTGTTTATAATGCTGTTGGTCGCAGATGACCTTTACAGCATCACCGGCTTGGGGACTGCGAGATTATAAGGGGATCTCAAGCAGAAAATGTGCGAATGCTTCTAGAGGCATTCCAGGAGGATGGCATCTCCCCACGTGGGCAGTCTCCTCTCCGTCTGGAGCCTTTAGACCACTCGAACCTGAGGGGGTCGGCTCTACCAGAGGGAGTAGACTAGTTAGCGGTTATCGTGGGGGGCGAAGTCAGTGATGTGCCAACCTTTTATGGAATATAGTACGCTGTTTTTATTGATATCCAATAAAGATATTGCACGTATTATTTTGGAACCATTGAATGAAAAAATAAATTTATTGCATATTATTAATATTCATTTCTCCATATTACTGTACTGGATCCAGCGCAATGAGAATTCGTTTTTTGTGAATCCGACCAAGTGCGAACAGATGGCGACTTCGGCTGCATAGAATGATTCATCATCATCATCATTATCATCAGCCTATTAATGCCCCCACTCCCCGTCCCCACACACACCATGACCCACCACGCGGGCTCAGTGCGGGTTGGTGGGTGCTAACGACTGCAGATGCAGCCGGGACCGACGGCTTAACGTGCCTTCCGAAGCATGGAGGAGCTCGAGATAGTAAATTTTTGGTCATCCATCCAATGACCGACCACTGCGAAAGTTGCTCAAGTTCAACGACCGCAGCCGAACGCGCTAACCACTGGCGAGATCGAGCTCCTCGAATCGAATCCTCCACAGAATGATTGTCTTGTCAGAATTCTTACAGCCCTCAAATTAACATTCTACTTATTTTCATGTTAAAGGCTTACCGACATACTGATTTTATAAATAATAATATTGTTTTTATGATGGATCTCATTGCATACTTACTTATGTAATTTCAATGAAACAACAAATATTTTAAACGTATGAAGTGTATTTTCTCGTTCAAAACCAAAACATAAGTAGTTCTATAATAATTATCGTTTATATCATCATCACTAATAATTTTAACAATATTCACATAATCATTTACAATTAAATTTAAATAGGTTATAGCCATATGCATAGCAGCACAGCAAGACGTGTTTAAAAACAAAATGGCGGACGTCACTGTACTTCACAAAATGGTGGACGTGATACCCATTGACATAATTTATTACTTTAGGCTAAATACTCGAACTGACTATTTTTTAAAAGAGTTTTAGGATTTTAGCACAAGAGTTAGTAGCATCTACTTTTTTTACCAAAATTTGACGCCCCATCTTTTTAGTTTTTGATCTCACAACAAACAAACATTCTATAAATAAATCGAAAATGCCAAATAGTTAATTTGCAAAATTTTAAATAGTTTTGCGACAAAAATACCCTAAGATTAACAAATATTCGAGTATTGAGCCGCAAGTTTGTGTCAAAGGTATATGTAGTTGGCACTGAAATAGCGCCATCTAACGGAAATGCCATACACTACGGAGTTAAAAATGACTTTAATATACACTTGCAAACGCAACTACAGATTTTTATCGAAAATGTTTCAATAATTTATACAATAATTAGACGGTAATTATTTATTACTATTTTGATATAAAACCTACTTTAGCAGCACAAAAATCAGCTTTATGCTAGATAATTTTAAAGTCTACAGTTTTTGGTTATAATTTTATTTATTTTATAACTTCATGACTCATGCATAAACTTAGCATTCATAAAATGTTATGTTAAAAAGGCATTTCATTGTCACTGGCGATTTTGTAAACTGCCGGAAATATCTATTGGCCCATCTAGCATGATAAGTTTTGACGGTCCTTAGCTAAAAATAAATGTTAGATTGAGCAAAAGGATATTAACAAAGAAGCTGATTTATTAACCATCATTTCGTGTTTTTTAAATTATTGCTCAAGGACAACTTAATATTTTTTTGCTAGAGACCGTTGAAACTTACAATACTAATGCCCGTATTACAGAATGACAACTAAGTGTTGATCTTTACTTAAGTTGAAAGTTAGAAAGGGATGTAGCTATGTGCTATATATAGCGACATCCCTTTCTAACTATGCTCAAGACTAGATCAATCACTGAGAATCTTTCTTTAATACGGGCCTAAGTGTGCTAATAGATGTGTCTGGAAGTATACTTAATAACTGCGTTCTTTGTCTTAATAATTATTTTAAAATACAGCTTTGCTTATTATTGCTTATTGCAAGTAAATAAAATAATTTTATTATAACGAAATAATTAAGGTCAACATTTCCGAACCATTTTAAAATTATAAATTCTTTAATATGAAAATTTTTTTTTTGAAATTGTTATATTTATAACGAATTAACAATTAAGTAGTTACAATTTTTTTCCGACACACTAAACTTTGTTATGGAAAATCAATTACTTACAGGCAAAAAATAATTAGAACAGAATTTGATTGCTGAGGAGCTGGCGAACAAAATGGTTTAAATACGCATCTGGTAAAACTACTTTTTTTTTTACAGCGAGGTAGGCAAATGACTCTACCCCACCTGATGTGTGATGGTGATGTGAAGTGGTGATAAAGTCCAAACGCGAAGATAGCTGATACAGCAGTCATAAACTGCTACACCAACCATCCTCACCTTGCCGGCCTGCAAAAATGCTTCTTCACGCCTCTCTTAAAGGACGCCAGATTATAGGAAGGAGGGAACACGTGCTCTGGTAAAGAATTCCACTTACGAATAGTACGACAAAGAAATGAATTTCTTTTTACAGTCCGGAGGTTTTGAGCCCGCTGATTTTGAATTTCAATCTATATTATTCAATCAAAACCGCCTAAAAGTGTTAAAATTACTAAATTTTTAATTAAAAAACAACGCCAAAGCTCACTGTAGGTATGTCATTCAGTATTTTACAGCGCCTGTAAAATTTTATTTTATGTAATTACTAGCGGCCCGTCCTCGCTTCGCTTCGGTGTGGAGCTGAAGTGTAGACTACAATTTTTGTTCTCAGGCTTGTATTATACACAATGACATTATTTATGATTCTCCTTATACCTGCATGCAAAGTCTCAACCCGATCGGTTTAAAATTGACAAAGTTTCATACAAACTTTCATTCCCTATTTTATCCCCTTGGGGGTAGAATTGATCAAAATCTCTTCTTAGCGGATGCCTGCGTCATAACATGCATGCCAAATTTCAGCCCGATCCTTCCAGTGGTTTGGGCTGTGCGTTGATAGATCACTATGTCAGTCAGTCACCTTTGAGTTTTATATATATAGATACCGTTTTGTTCGTCAGCTCCTCAGGTGTGAAATCTATATTTGTCGTTGTAGGTACTGCGAATTACAATACCACATCTATGTCAACAATTTTACATAGAAAGCATCTTTATTACCAACCAGTAAGGGCTAATTTGGCAGTCAACCTGCTTCTAACTGTATTATAGGGCTAAAATAATAATAGATGCATTAAATGGATTTATAGATAATTAATAATATAATGGGATAATACTCGGTATTTATTAATGTACAATTAAGTAAAATCAACAAAATTATATTTACATAATCAAATAAAAATATTAAAATTTAACAATGCAGTATTTAGGCAACGCGAAAGCCGTTGGGTAAAGATTAATCATAATTTTTAATTAAAAGTAATTTATAATTGTCCACAAATAGAACATAATTGACATGAAAATAAGAGCTGTATTCTTGACTTATATTTCACTTTCATGAAACCCAACGAATTACGCGACCATTATAAAAACTAAGAATTAAATTGGAATTCTATACAGTAGAAAATATAAATTCTAAATTAAAATTAATTTATAATTAATTTGTACACAATATATTGGGATGATAAGTGTGATATGAACATGTGTGTACGAATGAATAATTATATATTATGATAAAAAGAGTTTTAGAAAGAAAATTTCAATCTCTTTTGTGATTACTTCAAAATAAAAATATATATCTTCTTGATTCAATCTACGAACATAGCATAATTTTGAAAGTATGTGATACCTATGAAGTGAATGAACTTAATATCAACAAAATACTTTAAAAAAATGCTATTAAAGAGCTATTTGTCTCTGCAAATTATATTTTGACGAATCTCAGTGAACAATTCTCAACTATTTCCTCAATCAGATGGGCATAATTATAGTGATAGAATCCTATGGATGAAAATGGAAAATTGATAGGGCAAACGAGTGCCCCAGCAGTGGAGCCATTGAAAGGCTGTTATAATCTATTTGAGCGACCACTAGTTGATTTATTTGCCTTAAAAATGACTAATTTCTGTCATGAAGTGTAATTATTTTTCTAAAGGCAAATTAAGTAAATGTATATATATATATTTTTTTTTTAAAGTATGAACCCTAATTTATAATCTGCACGCTTTTTTGTATTTTGTTTGCACTGCAGGACCATTTTGTTATTGTTGTAAGTCCTCGGTTAAAAAATGTTATAAATAAATAAACAATAACAAATACACTGGTTTGGTTTTAAAACAAAACGCCTTTGTAAACACTGGGTAATTAGCACATTTTTCTAACACAATAAAACACTTTTTTAACGCTACTTACATAGCGTATTTTTAATGTGTTATTTAATTATTTTTATATTGATAATGTGTTATTTAATTATTTTGAAATATTGACATTCGGGACTCTTTACATGATTTGTGGTTGCAAGATATCGATGAATGGAATAATACAAAAATTAAAACAAAAAAAAGGACTCTATTCGCTTATTCAAAATGCGTTTTTATTGTAAACTGTGTTTATGCAAATGGAATATTTGAATTAGCATTACTGGCGCTTCAAATCTCTCGCCTTTTCAAAAGTTTGAAATATCCATCACATATCCTTTAAAAACGTGCTTATTTACAGGGTGTAAAAAAAACTATGACGAAGTCTAAGGCCCCGTATTTTCCACATCATGATGATCATTTTTTATTCTGGACCATACCAGGGAAATTTATAGTTATGGAGCTAATGAAGGTCAAAGTAATTTTTTTTTCAAGATTTATACATTAATATTTTCAAAACGTTATTTCGAAACTTTTTTATCAACTCACTTCCACACACGCACACACATACACACAGGCACATTCTTTGCGTAGCGTCACAGTAGCGTGCCGCGCTATACCTTGCGTACTGGAAAAAAAATGTACTTTTTTAACTTAAAAACACAATTTTTTCCCACCTTTAATACTTTGTAATGTGACTTGTTTGGGTGTACAGAATGCGTTGTTTAAGTCTTTGTCATAGGTTTTTTTACACCCTGTATAACACTTTCTGTCAACCAAACTGGAAATTAGTTTAACATCGGTATCTAGTTCGAAAACAAAATGCCTTCGTAAAAAGTCAAGAATTTCCATTATTAGCTTTTCGTATCCCTCGCTATTTCGAAGGGTGGAAATTTCCATCACATATCCTTTAAAACGTGTTTCAATATAGCACTTTCCGTATTCCTAGTTTGGTTAACACCGGTATCTAGTTGGGAAACAACCCTGGGCTGATGGTCTGAGTCCATGGATAGTTGGGAACTGGTCTCCACAGAGTCCAGGTTCTGGAATAGAAGATTATTGGAGCCCGTCGAAGGATTCCTACGGTGGCCTACCTCAAAGTTGTGAGGACCTGAAAATTATAAAAAAACAATCAAAGAATCAATTTACAGTACAAAGTGAGACAATCAATATTACTTTCCGTTTTCTTTATTTTAAATGTTAACTATACAATAAAATCGGGATGATGACTATTTTTTTTTCTTCGTTTATCTGGTAGATTATCAAAAAGTATTGGACACGTATTTTTTATTTTTTCACATAATATAAACGTTATATACATATATTGATTTTAAAAGTCGCATGACGTCATGTTTTGTTACAATTTTCACTTAAAAGTGACGTCACGAGACCCTACTCCCAAACTTTGACGCGCTGAAACTTTTTCATTTTTTGGTTGATTGCCCAAAGAAAAAATATGTGTCCATTATTTTTTGATCATCTAACTGACGGACTAAATAGAATTTCGTTTACTGTACCCCGTCATCATCCCTATTATTTATATTTCATGCCTTAAGCTTTATTAATAAACGAAGACTACACACGGATTAGTTACTCCATGTTTAAGGGGGTAATGGTTTATCTGGCAAGTAAGTACTTGCCTCTTACTTAATGCAGTATAAAAATTGGGCACATAAACACTTATTAGTTCCATTCCCGTTATATTTTTATTTTTAAGCATGTAACTGCTAGATGTTTAAATCTATAGAAAAGTTTACTAGGAAAAATTCCATGCGGACCAGGCAGCGGACGGGCCTCGAACCCGCACCCTTAGCTATTCGGACGAATGCACTGACAATTATGCTACCGATACCAATAATTGAAATTAGAGTATTGTGTGAAATTTTGGGTTTTGTACGTGAATTTAATTAGTTACATATAAAAAAAACACGTGAACAAGAACAAAACACTTAAAAATCAGTATTTTAAATACAACCATGACAAGTAGTATTGATTGCTATCTCCCTCACACTTATGGTGACTACTCTGAAGTGCGATCATTCTTCTGTATGTCTTCTAAAAGTATGGATTAAATACAGGGTGTCCCACGGGTTTTTCACATGGAGGGAATGTATATTCAATGTTAAAGATAGGCTATTTTACTGAAAGAAGACATAATTTAAAATAATAATGATATATGAACTGTTTTCACAGTTTTTAAAAAATCGCCTGCCAAAACCGGGAATTACACTCATGAAATGTGAATCTGAAAGAAAAATTACGAAATTTGATTATGATTTTATTTTATTTTTAAGCATTTAACTGCTAGATGTTTAAATCTAAAGAAAAGCTTACTAGAAAAAAAATCCACACGGACCAGGCAGCGGACGGGACTCGAACCCGCATCCTTCGCAATCCGGGCGAATGCACTGACCATTATGCTACCACGGCCCTATTAGCCGCGTCGAAATTTTCCTAGCCTTAAGCTGCAAGGCAGCGCCATCTCTTCGCATTGTAGATAACCCACAATGTCAAATGAATACTTTTTCAAGTATTAAACATTTGAAAGAAGAAATAGCAATTATAGTTATGATTTTATTTTATTTTTAAGCATTTAACTGCTAGATGTTTAAATCTAAAGAAAAGCTTACTAGAAAAAAATCCACGCGGACCAGGCAGCGGACGGGACTCGAACCCGCATCCTTCGCAATCCGGCGGATTTTTTTTCTAGTAAGCTTTTCTTTAGATTTAAACATCTAGCAGTTAAATGCTTAAAAATAAAATAAAATCATAACTATAATTGCTATTTCTTCTTTCAAATGTTTAATACTTGAAAAAGTATTCATTTGACATTGTGGGTTATCTACAATGCGAAGAGATGGCGCTGCCTTGCAGCTTAAGGCTAGGAAAATTTCGACGCGGCTAATAGGGCCGTGGTAGCATAATGGTCAGTGCATTCGCCCGGATTGCGAAGGATGCGGGTTCGAGTCCCGTCCGCTGCCTGGTCCGCGTGGATTTTTTTCTAGTAAGCTTTTCTTTAGATTTAAACATCCAGCAGTTAAATGCTTAAAAATAAAATAAAATCATAACTATAATTGCTATTTCTTCTTTCAAATGTTTAATACTTGAAAAAGTATTCATTTGACATTGTGGGTTATCTACAATGCGAAGAGATGGCGCTGCCTTGCAGCTTAAGGCTAGGAAAATTTCGACGCGGCTAATAGGGCCGTGGTAGCATAATGGTCAGTGCATTCGCCCGGATTGTGAAGGATGCGGGTACGAAATTTGAATTAAAAAAGTCGTATTTTGTGATTTTTCTTTCATTTAAAATGCTTTGTTATTTAGGAAAAAATAATCCTTATGATTAACCCTTTCGATGGTTATCATAAAATACGTTATGTGTTTTTTTTTTCAAATTTCACGAGTCTGATTCCCAGTTGTGGCAGGCAATTTTTAAAAAATCTGCGAATACAGTGCTATTTATTATTAAAAACAAAATGATGTCTTCTTTCAGTAAAGTATCCTATCTTCAAAATTCAATATACTTTCCCTCTGTGTGACAAACCCGTAGGACATCCTGTATACTCCTTCGCCCGCGTCACTGAAAATTGACTCTTAACTCACCGACTGTAGAGTTCTTTCTCTGTGTAGGCGTGGTACTTCGACTACTGCTTTGTGCAATCCCCATCATATTGGGTAACTGCGGTCGCGGCTTCGATTCGTTCTGTAGGAATTTCACGAATTCCGCAGCTAAACTGTCCGTGGTGTTCGCAGATCGGACTAAGCCCAGCTTCTCACAGTCTTGCTGGTTGAAGTCGAGAACTGTCGAGAGTATCCTCAGGACTTGTGTTCTGAAAATAAGATTGGAGTCACTCGACAAATTAATAAATATATTGTAAAATAGGTGCCCAAATGATAGACAATGGTGTCAATTCTGAAATGATTCTCTAAACCTATACTTAAGTTTGACAACAGTGTATCCTTGTCATTCTCTATATAGAATGAAAAGGACAGACTGATGTTAAATTTAGTTTTAAGTTTAGGGAATCATGCCGGAATCGACACAAGTATTCGATTATCTGAGATGTTTCCTGCTCGGAAGCGAATAAAAAGTGTCTTTAAAATCATTTTTTTTCTTTACACATATATGATATATTGTCGGCACGCCATCTAGTTTCTAAGTGTGGAAATGTAAACAGATTATGCGAAGTTTGCAAGCCATGTAGATTCACCTAGATTGAGATGGCGCTGTCGTAACATAAATATTTCTAACAGAAACACCAATCAGCCTAGGCCTAGGCTTGTGGTATGGGATACTAAAGCAATGCATAGAATTAACAGATAGTTACAGGTAGAGTTGTCTCAAACAGTTAAATTTAAACATTGTGTAACTGGCATAAGTTTTACAATTGATTGAGAAAATTTGGGCTTTTCAAGCAACTTGGTGTTAACCGACTGAGGAAACATTGAGGAGCTTGATAGCGCGTTCGGTCTGCGATCGTGGAAGTTAAACAACTTTCGCAAAGGTCGGTTATAGGATGGGTGACCAAAAATTAATAGTACAGAATTCTTCGTTTAGACGTACAGAACCATACACTATGGTACAGAAACCTTTCTCTAGAGAAACTAAACTAAATACTTACTTGTTATGGTTATTACTCGCAGATGTAACCACATAGTTAATAACTAGATTCTTCACTAAATTCTTATCAACTTTGTCTTGCTGATTCGATATTGCGTTGTAATACCTCTCTTCGGCTGCCGTCACCGATGCTTGTAGCGTTCTCACTAAATTCAATCAAAATAAACTTATGTATTTAACTACGAACAAAATTAATGAAGTAACGTTAATCATGAATAAATTTTATAGTGAAAATAGTAATTTCAATAACAAATATATCAATATTCTCATTGAAAATGTCCAAAACATGCACTAATTCATTAGTTGCATATAAATTAGTAATTTAATACATCAAAACTACAAAGTCAATGATAAACATAACTCTTAAGAAATTAAAAACTGAAAACGTTCAAATTTTTGCTGAAATTCAACACACAGACAAAGAATTTAAAAACCAAATAACGAACTCTTAGTTTTTTTTAGGTTAATATATCTATAATTTTAAATCTTACAAAAACTAAAAAATTGCAAAAAAGGAATAAATAACAATAAGTAGATAATATTATTACAGTATCTCTACAATCTAATCTTACCATGCACACGCTATCGTTGAACGACGCACGATGCAATAGCAAACACGACCTCAAAGTATTATTCAGCCACTGGGAAGGAAATGTTAGACCACCAGCACTTATACGAAACTATTCTCATATTATATCTTGTAAGATTGTCTTTTACCAATTTTGATTCGCTTTAGCATAAGTGAAATGCCAGAGTTCATGCTTTTAGTCGGGCAACAATGTCATCTAGGTATAACATAACAATTTGCAAAATATGGTTTCTGTTTTGAAACCATATTTTTAAAACTTGAACTAGTTCATGCATTTATTCAATTGTCATCAAATTGAAGAATTCTTTTGGTCATTTTTCATCTATATGCCTTTTTTTAGCATTTGTGTCTTTATCTTTCATTTGGTAATAAGCATATGTTATATCCAATGTGACAAGACAATTTTGAAAACCAATCGTCTAAATCACATGTTTTCATTATAACTGGATAATACCGTAAACGAATCAAAAGTAGATATATATATATATATGTTACATTTTACAAGAGCCGATATAAGTGGAAATGGTCTTATTTTCCATTTAGCAATTCCACCAGTACCTGAAGTAATACTCAGAGGCAATGAAGCTTTCTCGAGGGCTCTTCTATTACGACTTGGGTTCTAAATGTTTAAAAATTGGGAGAATAATAAAACAACATCAACATAAGTTGCATTGAAAATGAGAGTTTTGCGATGATTTATGATCGGATAATCGGGTTGTTATTAACATAAACTTAATGAAATTCAACAATCACCATATTAATAAAAAATATTATCAACACTACTATTATAATAAAGAAAACCCCCTTAGGATATTCTTTGCGTAATATCTAGTAAAAAAAAATATATTATAATAAAAAATGTTTTGCATTTTGCTCATTACTAGTTCCCAGAAAGGCTAGTTTCAAATTCTGGATTTAATTTTACTAACGATGGTTGTAAAGTTTAAATGGCAGTACATTCTCGAAGTTTAGGTGAACAAGCGCCCATTTATCCGAACACTGATGATGATATACACCGTCAATTTAGAGTAACATGAGAAAATTTACCAGCGAATTCAGATTTATATAGGTCGGTTATATTTCCACAAAAAACAGTATTTTTTTCGGTAAGGAAACACTTACCTATTTATTTATTACCTTAATAAACTCATTGTGCAATTATGAAACCTTAAAAATTTCAGTAGTCAGTAATTGATTCAAATAAAACTAAGGATTTACGTTATTTAAACGGATGATAAATCTATATCTAATACATAAAATTCTCGTATCACGGTGTGCGTAATTGAACCACTCAGGTACGGCTCGACCGATTTTCCTGAAATTTTATATGCATATTAGGTAGGTCTGAGAATCGCACAACATCTATTTTTCATCCCCCTAAATGTTAAGGGTATTAATTTAAGGGCCCACCCTTAAATTTTTTTGACAAAATTTGTTGCTTTTTTTTTGATACATCATACAAAAATACATATAACCCTTAATTTTCACCCTTCTACCACCAACCCCTATTTTTTTATGGCGGTAAGAAGTTCGCTGGGACAGCTAATTAAATATAAATATGCGCCGTTGATAGGATGTTTGTAAATGTTATATATAAGGGGGGAAAGGGTGTTGTTTGTTTTGTTAATAGCTATTCTCAATATTTTTATGTATATATGAATTTTAAGTTTCTCAGGGAACTCTAAAATTCACGATGTATAGTACTCTAAATTTACGACAGTCTAGCAGTTTACATCTCAAATCAAATGCCAGTGCATAGTAATAAGTTTGTAATGATATCAATTATTAATAAAATACTAAAAAATGTCAACATTTTCAATGCAACAGACAATCACGAACACAGAAAAGTGTGCTGCTAAACATAATTATTGCAAGTGCGCAAAATGAACTTCATTTAACAACAAATAAAAAAAGTGATTTCGACATTCATTCCCAAATTAAAAAAAAAAGCAGCAGCAGTGGTGAAATTATAAACACAAGGACGACACGGTGTGAAGCCGAGTACCTCAATCAAACCCCATATGGTAATCTGAGTAGATCGCGATCTTGCCAACTGTCACACTGACACATGTCAGAATAATCTGACAGTTGGCAGCCGCGTTGTGATAATGCCTCACAGTTACCAAATGAGATTAGACCGAAGCGGGCCGAAGCTTGATTCTTGAGCGAGTTCCACGGCTACAAGCTTAAATAACAATTTATCTTTATTTCTACTATCGTATTTATAAGTGATGGTAGCTTTTATATACAAGTGTATTAATAAATTTTCGCGATATCTGGAATTTTCAATGTATGCAAATCTTTTTACGCTTGTCACTGATATCAAGGTGATTTCAGAGCGTTATAAGACTCTTATTATAAGGTTTTTTAAGATTTAATTTATTCGGGTAATATCAAATCAAAACTGATGAGTTGCTCTATTGGTATCCAGGAAAAAATAGAAATACTACTAAATTGTTAAGTTTAATTACTCTATCGTTAACCGCGTCAACAATAACTAAAGTATAATCAAACAAAAAATTAATTAATAATGGATTTTACAAAACGATAAATATCGCATGCTTATCAAAACGCTAAGACACACGAAAGCTCAAAATTTCGACAACACAACATTCTAAAGCCTCACAAAACTTACTCGTGTGTGTCAGTCAGTTTGGTTTAATTTTTCTAACGTAGCCGCGCGGTTACTGGCTGCATATCAACTGATAGCCTGGGTGCTAAAACACCCCAGAATTACCAGCTGATATTTGGCCAGAATGCCGCATTGCTGATAAAGGATCCAATCTTTTCTCCATACAACTCTGCCCAATTTTGTACCTCAAGAATTATCATGCATTTATGTGAATTAAAATACGCCGAATTCATCAATAATATAAATGGATTTTAATATCCACTTGTACTACATTAAAATGACATTAAAACATTTAAATTAATGGCAACACAGATAATATATTAAAGTAAACGTGCCTCTTGAAAGTAGCCACGGAAATCACCTGCTTTTTTATACAATCAATCACAATGAATGAAGTGAATTTAAGCCAATAGTATTATCTGTCACCTGTAGGTCAATGACAAATTGCGTCTAAGTTATAACGTTTCTTTCAACGCAGTATCCCTATTTTAATTCAGATTTTCACTAAATTTCATTCAGTTTATTGAGATTTTGATGAGCGAATATTTTTTAAAGAATAATTTTAGTTATTTTTTAAGATAATTAGTACCAAGATACAAAATTGGGCAAAAACCGAAAGTCTCCTTTGACTTTATTATTCACATACAAAATATGGACTGGATATTGTACATAGAAGATACTACTGATTATTAAGCTACGCCTACTGTATCTACAAGATGGCATTATTTAAAAGTACTGCTTACATAGACTGAATTGACCCTAGCTAATAAATAAATAAATATTTCCAACACTCACACCAATTAGCCTAGCCCCAAAGTAAGCACTGCTTACAGTCTACACAAGCCTTAGCTTGTGTTATGGGATACTAGGGTAACGGATAGAATACATATACAGTACATATATAAGTATATTTATATAGGAACACATATTAAACATCCATGACTGGAGTACAAATGCTCGTATTCATAACACAAACATCTGCCCCCACCGAGTCTCGAGTCGGCTACACCATGAAACCAGGCGGACAAACCACTCGGCCACGGAGGTCGTCAAAATAACTAATAAATAACTAATTACCAGCAGATTTTTGGCCAGAATGCCGCATTGCTGATAAATTTGACTTTATAACTATATTCTACACAGAAATTTTGGCTATTTGTGTCTACAGTATCTAAAGCTTCAATGCAATCTAATTGCATTGCTTCTAGATTACATTATTAACGACAATTTACTGCTAATATAATAGAAAATAAAAGAAAAACAAAGATTATATACAATTAATTCATGGTTTCAACAAGCTTTTCAGTAAGTCGATTGGATTATATTTTCATTTCGTTTCATAAGAATGCATATTACTTCATAACGTGCTAATTCCCACAGTTGAGCTAGGTTAACAAGTGGCATTTCAGTTTATTGTACTATTGACTTTTAATAAACTCCACAAAGTACTAACTAGATTGTTCCATTATCGACCATAACATAATCGCAACAATGTTTAAAAACTGTGCTACGATATTTAATGAAGAAACGTTCGCACGTTTATATTGAGAAAGAGGAATTCAATTAAAAAAAACAGGAAACAAGAATCATCTTGTCTTATCTATAGTCTTCTTTTCCCTTCCTTTATCATTAGTTCATTGATATGAACAGGAAACTGTCGTTGATGAATTTTCGATAGTCTTACAAATCGAAGCAGATAAAAAACGATATCTTTAGCCAAAATAAATCCATCCGATGATACTAATCACCATTATTAACTTTGTACTAGATTGAAAAAAATAGTACAATCACAATGTAATAAAGTAACGTAATATTGGTTAACAGCTCAACATTGACATATTTCAGTCCTTTTCATTCCGTTATCTTTTTATAATCTATTATATCGAATAGCAAGTTTTTTCGTGATTTAATATTTGAGATTAAATTGAAGAAGCGACTACAATACTATACAAGAAAATATCTAAAAAGAAAAAAATAACCATCATTATTGTCAAAACATTAGCCAACAAAAAAATATCACGCATTACAATGATGTGGTTGATTGCTCTTACCTTGTTCTTTCAAATCGTTAATTTGTGCTGTTTTAGTTTCAACTTGATCGCCTAGTCTAGAAGCTGCTTGTAAACCAGCCATTGCTTCCTCGAGTTTAGAATTAAGTCTGGATATTTCATCCATAAGGTTTAGGTTCTCTCTTTTTAGGTCTTCCATTTTGTTTCGTATCTTTTCCGTGGCCGAATGTATATCACGTTCTTTATCTGAAATGTTTTGATTAGCTTTAATTAGAGATCGTGTGTTAATTTATTAGGGATGAATTATTGTATCGATAAAATAACTCAAAAGGGACAACTGTATGCATAAAGTTTAATAAAAAGCAATGAGATGCCTGCAACTTCAGCTGCGTGGAAACTTGGATTCCCATACAAAACTTCCTCCCCATTTTCACCTCCTTAAAGGAAGATTTGTGGGAAAAACTATCCTATATCCTTCTCCGGGACTCAAACTATCTCAGTACCAAATATCATCTAAATTGGTTCGGGGGTTTAAGCGTAAAGAGACAGACAAAGAGACACACTTTCGCATTAATAACATTAGTATGGACAATAACAATTTAGAGATAGAAATTTATAAACTTACCTAGTTGGAATTGTTCTAAAACCACTTGCAAGTTTGTGAGTGCTGCTTCACTCCTACTCCTAGCGTCTTCTGCTTCGCTCAACTTCGCTTGGACATCTTCTCTCTGCTTCTCCAATAGTTTTATTTGGTTCCTTAATGTTTCCACTTCTTGGTTCGCACGAATACTAGAAACAATTATATTAGAATGATAATTTATTTTATACAATATTTAAAACTTCCATGTTTTATTCAGAACCAAAGTAAATTATATATTGTTAATCAAAGGTTACATTTGTGAAACTATCGGGACTTTTATTTCCAAATATGAACGCAGCTTTCAGTTTGGAAATTTATGCGTAAACATATTTATAAAGTTCATGCTTCTTTGTCCTATCTTACACACCATGTGAGAAATATGGCGTGAAAATGTAATTAGGTTTTAAAAATTGCAAATAAAAAGTTGTTGAATAATTATCCTTTTTTTACTTGTCATTTCGCTACTTTATCTCGATAAGAATAAATTCTTTTCATACCAAAATTCGGGCGTGTACGCGTAAAAACTAACAGGCGGACAGAGTTATATTTATAATACTAGAATAGATTTCAGTCACACGACTTCTCCCAAAGATTTCCAAAACATTATGTGCTGCAGTGTTGGTATCTTCTTCTTGGATTGGATTTTCTTCTTTAGAAAAGTAGAAACTTTGGCACAAATAGAAAGTAGAAAACTAACGTACTAAAGGTTCAAATTACATACCTATTACTGGTGTATACGGTGCTACTTTGCTTCGCCCTCTCTTCCACATGATGCAACCTCGTCTGGCATTCTGTGAGTTTCTGCTCTGACGTCATAAGTTCCTGTGTGTAACTTTCCTCCATCTCCACTAAATGATGCCTTAATCTCTCCAACTCTCTTGTCGAGTTCTGTTCTTGTTCGGACAACTGCGTAAGAATTTAGGAGAATGGTACAGTGTCTCGTTAAGCAACAAATGTGAAATCCAAAGTAAAAAATATAATTTTTATAATTTTTATTATTTTTAAAGCATGTAACTGCTTGATGTTTAAATCTAAAGAAAATATAACGTTATATTTTAGATTTAAATTTAAACATCAAGCAGTTACATGCTTTAAAAATAATAAAAATTATAACTATAATTGCTATTTCTTCTTTCAAATGATTAATACTTGTAAAAGTATTCATTTGACATTGTGGGTTTGCCTATAATGCGAGGGGATGGCGCTACCTTGCAGCTTAAGAATAGCTAGAAAGAATTTCGACGCGGTCCGTGAGGGCCGCGGTAGCATAATTGGTCAGTGCATTCGCCCGGATTGCGAAGGGTGCGGGTTCGAGTCCCGTCTGCTGCCTGGTCCGCGTGGATTTTTTCTAGTTATATTTTCTTTAGATTTAAATATAATTTTTTTTGTACATTATTAAAAATCGAACTTTTTTATGTAAGATTAGTGGAAAATAAACAAAATGACCTAAATGATGGTAAAAGATTGCCATAGCCTATAGACGCTTGCGATACTCGAGTATCACTTGATCCATTGCCTACCCTCACCCGATCTCCTAGTCCGTGAAGCCATATTTAATTAAAACATTTATTTTGTACTAAATAATTATCATAGGTTTACTTGAAATGAAGAATAATTAAACATTCACTAATTTAAATCTAAAGAAAAGTTTACTAGAAAAAAATCCACGTGGACCAGGCAGCAGACGGGACTCGAAATCGCACCCTCCGGGCGAATCTAGCAGTTAAATGCTTAAAAAAATAAAAACCTAATTCACTAATTTACCTGTGCGTTTTCTGTTGTCAATTTTTTAACGGTCTCCAATTGTAGAGCAAGGCTTTTATCCAAATTATCACATTTATCTGTTAATACTTTGACTGAGTCGTTTGCATTAAGCAATTGTACCTTTAGGTTTTCATTTTCAGTAGCGTTATGAGTTAAATTCATTATAATCTCATCTTTTTCTTTCAAGGTTATTCTTAACCTCTCACAATTTTCACAACCATCCGAAGAATTCCTTGTCTTCTCCTTTTCTTCCAAAGCTTTCTTAAACTCGTTACTTTGTTCTAAAAGAACATGATTTAGCCTTTGGATTTCATTATGATATTGTAGACTCTCGTTATGTTTCAAATTGACAAGATTTATTAATTCTGTTTTCTCAGTTGTAGTATTATCTATTAGTGTTTTGTACTCGACACATGTATTTTCTAAGTGTTCAAGTTTACCTTTTATTTCTAATAGTTCATTATCTTTCGTAGCTGTAATCGTTTTGAGTTCAGATACCTCTTTTTCCAGTAATTGTTTCTCGTGCAAAAGTTTCAAGTCTTCTTCATTCTGAGCGGTCATATTTTCAGTGACTCTTAGTTTGTCTGTTAACTGTGATATTGCTTCATTTAATTCTTTTATTTCTTTATCTTTTTGATCTATTGCAATTATTTGTGTAGAATTGTTTTTACTGAATTCTTCGAGGCGGGCTGTGAGATTTGAAATTTGATTATTTTTTGTCGATAATTCATCATTTAATGATAATATTTGTTTTGCTAATTCTTCTTTTTCTCTGTGTAAATCTTTCAGCTCTTGATATGTCGAATTAGCGTTGGTAACAGTATCTTGCAATTTCTTTTCCAATGCATCTAATTTGACATTTAATTCTTTTATTTCATTGTTTTTAACGCTAGCTAAAGTTTCTAAATTTCCGACATTCTTACTTAACGATTCCATTTCTACGTTATTATTATTGACTGTAGAGTTCAGTTTATCAATCAAAGAATCTTTTTCATTTAAATCTGACATCAATTTATCAAATTCTTCTTCCAAATGTGTAATTTTAGTATCAGTATTTAAGAGCTCCGCCTCCATTTGTAGATTTTTTTCCATGAGCTTTTTATTTTCTTCTTTCAATTCTAAAATCTCATTGTTTAGGAACTCTTCATGAAGATTCTTGGCTTTTAACTCATTTAATGTTTCTTGTAATAAAGCGTCACTTTGGTTATTAGCATAACTACTATTTTTGTAGTTCATATTTTCAGCGGACAGTTGTTCTTGTTGATGTTTCAAATTTGCCAATTCTGATTTAAGGTTCTCTACCGTGTTCAATAACATCGAACGTTCTGTAGCAATATCATTACTTGTTTCTAGTAAAAGGTTTTTTTCAGCAACAATTTTACTATTGTCACCGCTATCCCGAGAACTAGAATTTTGCGACTTTTGCGAAACAAGTATATTTTGTTCTAGTTTATATTTCTCATCTTCAATTTCATTTTTGTGTTTTATTACTTCATCTAACTTATTTTCAAGGTCTTCTAATTTACGATCTAGTGTAACTTTTAAAATTTCTAACTCTTTGTGCTCATTAGATTTTTCTTTCAAAGCATTTTTTAGCTCATCCACCTCTTTAGTAAGTAATACTTTGTCATTTTCAATTATATGGTTATCTATGGAAAGTTGTTCATTTTTGGTACTAGCTGCGTGTAAACGCTTTTTGAGTTCGTCAATTTCATCCAGCTGCATGTTTAGTACTTTTGTTTGCTCCGTGTTAGTTGTATGTTCTAGTTCTTCCAAATCTTTTGATTGATTTTTGCACAAATCTAATTCTGTTAGCATAGTAGTGTATTTACTCCTTAGATCATTCAAACTTTCCTGCAATAGAATCTTTTCTGTTCTTACTTCAGACAACTCATTTTCTATTCGTTTTATTTCACTTTCAAAAGTTTTATTCATTCTGTTACAATCTGCCAATTCAGTTTCGAGTTTTGCTAAATTATCTTCGTGAGTTTCTATAATGGGTTCTAATTTAGAAGTGTTTTTCAAGGTAGCAATTTCAGATATAAGAAAATCATTATTTTTCTTCATTTCAGAAAGCTCTCTTTCGTAATGTTGAATATCTGTAGTAAGGAAATCGTTTTCAGTTGTCAAATCATCAATTTGGGTTTGCAAATGGTTAACGTTAAGATTTTTTTCCGATAACTGATGTTCTAATGAGTCAATATTCTTCTTAAAAGAATTTACCGTTTTGAAAACACTTTCTAGTTTATACATGATAATATTATCACCGCGAGAAGGTATTTCTCCCACATAGTCAACAGGAAGTTCAAAATTAACGTATTTATTATACAGTTGCATGACCTTTTCGGGTTTGATAATTTTATGATCCAATTCATAATTTTCAGTATCCTTTAGTGACACCTGATGTTTCAGGTCGCTAATTTCTCGCTTGAGATTTTCAATGACAATTTTGGCATTATCATCAATATTTACTTCATCGGTATGCTCGTGGTTTGAGTTTTTTCTATCTTTCAAAAGTTTTAATTCTTTTATTAAATCTTCATATTTTTCTTTTGGCACCATGTTTGATAATTCAGATTTTTTTATAGAAATTTCTAAATCATGTTCTAATTTGGTCACTTGTTCTTGTAGTTTGAATACCTCTTCGTGCAAATCTTGGTTCTCTTCTTGAAATTTCTCTGCATTTTCTCGAAGTAAACTATGTATTCTCTCTAAATTTTGGTATTTATGGTGCAGTGTGTCATAGTCTGATTTAACTGCTTTCAGGGTTTCAATCTCTTTGTCACGTTCACCTAATTTTAGGAGCAAATTTTTTGTTTCAGCAGCGTATTCCTCATTGGCATTTTTTATATCTTCGTGTTCTTGTCTTAGAACTTCAAAGTTCTTTTGTAATTCTTTTTTGAGTGACAAAAGTCTTTCCATAGCTACTTGATGTTGGTTATCCAAGTCTTCTAAGTTTGATGTCAAATTCCTGTTTTCTTCTCTTAGCCTGTGTAATTCTTCCTCTACGTCAGGCCTTAGGTCTATAGTTTCTCTTTCTCTCATGGAGGATAATTCATCTTGTAAAGCTCGTATTTGTACTTTGTACTGGTTTTCGAAGTGATGATTGGCGGCTGTTTCGGTTTGGGACGGTGGATCCCAATACCAATTAGCCTCGTCTTCGCGGACGCCATTTTTCTTGGTGAGCCTCTGAAACAATAACCACAAATTCTATTAATAAATCATTTATCACAATTAGAAAATTTCAAAAGAAAATTACAATAAAAGATGATTCAAACTAAGAGACAAAAACGAAGATGTAAACAAATGACTGATAAGATCAAATACCGCAAATGCGTTTTGTTTGCTCAAAACCGACATTGACTTTCATTTCACATTAAACGACTGAATGTCTGATTACAAGAGGATACTCTTGCGCAAAATTTAATAAGAGGAGATTGCGAATATACCTATATTTTACTGTTGACAAATGGCACTTTAAGCATAACCATCATGGCCAGTAGGTAAGTTTTAAAAAAGTCCAGAGGTCCAAGCACGGCTCTGACAGGTCGCTGATCGAATCTCATCGTCAAAGTTCATATGAAAACTAAGCAGTGCCCCTAACGGACACAAAAACAAACTGGCTTCTTTCATACAAAATTTGACGATGACGATACGATTTCGGATCTGTCACAGTCCGTGCTCGGGTAACTTTTAATTTTCACTACATTAAAGAAAAAATATATATGGGTGCGTGTACTTATGTAAGCGCGTGAGAAGTTAAACATCTTTAGCATCATTAAAAATTTGTTTTTAATTGCATGCAAATAATTAATTACAAGAAAATAATTAAAGGACTGGAAAAGGATAGTCAACACAGTCAATAAAGTTCAGTTATAATTTGAAAAATTTAATAAATAATAAAATAATTCAAATTTAAAACACTACTAAATATAATTAATTAGCACATTTATATTTCGCGCTTGTATGAAACTAAAACACGTGTTGTGAATATAGAAACTAGACACATGTGGATAAATATTATATTTAAATACGAAAACAGTGATCAGAGGCGACGAGCGTGCCAACATGTGCGACTAATAGAGATTCTATATCTATTTTGTTGGTAGTTTTTTTCGAGACTTAATGTGCGGTTTAGCGGCCAACTTCATGGTGTTACTTTTATGTTACAGTTATGCGCGCGCATCTTAAAATTTTCCTCTCATCATTTTTTCATACCGCTCCTTGCGGTTTAGCGGCCAACTTCATGGTGTTACTTTTGTGTTACATTGATGTGCGCGCATCTTGAAATTTCACTCTCATAATTTTTTCATAACGGGCCTTGCGGTTTAGCGACCAACTTCATGGTGTTACTTTTATGTTACAGTGATGCGCGCACATCTTCAAATTTCACTCCTATAATTTTTTCACAACGCGCCTTGCGGTTTAGCAGCCAACTTCATGGTGTTACTTTTGTGTAACAGTGATGCGCGCGCATCTCAAAATTTCACTTCACTCTCATATTTTTTCATAACGCGCCTAACGAAGTATAACTTCAAAGAAACAATATAACCCTTATACTTCCAAAATAGCAACGAAGATATTTTAAACTGTGTTAAAAGCGTTAGTATGCAAACATACGATAAGCTATCTGCCAGCCTTTTTACAACTGCGACTGACTCACGATGAGGTGTTTTGTGTTGGTTTAGTTTCCAAATGTCTGCTTTTTTGTGTTATGGCTTTGTTGGATATTCAAGTCTACATATATACCGTTTTCTAAGTAATACTATTGATAAATTATTTGACGAAAATTTTACTAGAAATATTCTATTCTTCCCGGGTATGGTGTCAAACCATATGGTGTCCTTTGATATTCGGGCGAATGCATGTTATCGAAGTTTAGCTCCCAAGTTGCAAGACAGCTTAAAAGCTAATCTTAAAATATTTGGATTTCTGATAATGAACAGTTTACTTTAAAGTCGCAATATTGAATTTTATTTGAATCAGACCGTATCTGGATATAATATATTTTTTTTCTTTAAGAGGCTGTTTAAGAGGTTTCTGGAGCACACTTATCTAGCTTATGAGTCTCGATAACGAGCCTTTTGAGCAAAATGTTATTACTTATGTATTGATTTGTATCCATTTCGTGTTCTTAACAAATAAATAAGACAGCGCCATTTCTTTACATAACTGACAGCTACAATATCAATTGAGATACTTTTAAGTATCAAACACCCGAAAGAAGAAAAAGCAATGTATATTTCTTTTGGTTTTCATTAGTTAAAAATAACCAAGCAGTATGTTGAATACATAAAAATATTGGTGCACTGACAACTTTAAATAATAATCACGTTGTCACAATAATATTAAGGATATTCTGTAAATAAATATAAGTTATATAATTAACGGTTGCAAAAATCAAATCATCCATGAACATCTGGTAAACCGGTACTTATAGCTAAAAAAATTGTGTGTGTCAGCTCCGACGCACGACTGGAGTTTACTCCTTAAGTTCGATAGTCTAACCAGACGCAAAAAGACTTTATTTAACTTAAAAAAGATTAATACTGTATGAAAGGGTAAATTAACAAATTAATGAAAATAATATACATATATAAATATATATTTATTCATTTCATATACATTTATTATAACTAATCGACGAAATATTTTACATTAAACTTTTTACAATAGTCAATTTCAGATGTGCATAAATATATCATTAGGAATAAGGATAATAAGGATAAGGAGTTGATAAATTATGTAATTATTATTATCAGACTACTATCATTTTTTAAAATATTAATTAAATCAACATTGTCTGCATTATTAATTACAGTGACAAGTGGTTTATGGTAACTAAAATAAGACACATGGACATTCGTAGATACGTGGTTCACGAATCTTGAAAATACCGCATCAATGGTTGTACCATACCTCGTTGTCCCCATTGCTCTATCAGAAACAATATCTAAATTGAGTTCAGATTTTAAAATTTTTATTAATGTCAATCCGTCATCTTTGTTTGTCAAAGTTGCGCGACATAAGATGCGCACCAAAAACGTAACGAGGTCATTCATCGATAGATTTTACTCCTCACGTTTTTCTCATACCGGGCCCCTTATATATGCAAATCGATTCTTAAGGAGTAAACTCCAAAAAATTGCTAAAGTTAGAGAACATGAATAATTAACGTTTCCAAATGATGTGTTTTAAAGTTACGAAATCCGGTTCAGCATATTACTGTGGAACATTAGCCATTGGCAAGTGGTGCGTGAATGATATATATAGTACCTATAGATAGGGGCGGCTGACATAATGTCATTGAATAAATTGTTCGCTAAAAAAACTTTGTTAGCCATAAGAGAATTCGACTAATTTTAGTTTTCAACCAAAACTTAGATGATTGAATCTTATATGACACTCAAGTGTCATGGGATGAGATAGGCTCATGCCTATTAATGTGAACGATGCTGGAGCACAGGCTAAGGGTTGAATTAGGAGATTGGGCCATCATTGGTGGGAACTAACGACGAACAACGTGCCTCCTGAAGCACGGCGAAGCTGGAGATAATAAGTTTTGGTCACCCATCCAATGACCGACCATTGCGAATGTTGATTAAGTTCCACGATCGCAGGCCGAACGCGCTAACCACTTGCGCCATTAAGGAGGAGCTCAATCCTTTAAGTAATTGTTATATATTTGATTTCGAGCATTTGTACTCCAGTCATGGATGTTTAACAATTATTTCTATAAAAATATACTTACATATGTACAGTATTATGTATTCTATCCGTTTCCCTAGTATCCCATAACACAAGCCTTATAGTGCTTACTTTGGGGCTAGGCTAGGCTAATTGGTGTGAGTGTTGGAAATATTTATCTATTTATCTATATGTATATAACTCAAAGGTGACTGACTGACATAGTGATCTATCAACACACAGCCCAAACCACTGGACGGATCGAGCTGAAATTTGGCATGCAGGTAGATGTTATGACGTAGGCATCCGCTAAGAAAGGATTTTGATCAATTCTACCCCCAAGGGGATGAAATAGGGAAAGGAAGTTTGTATGAAACTTTATCAAGTTTAAACCGATCGGGCTGAGACTTTGCATGCAGAATCATAGATGAATGTCATTGTGTATAATACAAGCCTGAGAACAAAAACTGTAGTCTACACTTAGCTCTACACTGAAGCGAAGCGAGGGCGGGCCGCTAGTCTTAATATATATAAATCTCGTGTCACAATGTTTGTCCTCAATGGACTCCTAAACCACTGAACCGATTATAATAAAATTCGCACACCATGTGCAGTTCGATCCAACTTGAGAGATAGGATAGTTTAAATCTCAAATTATAGTCGCAATTTTAATTTATTGCAAATTATTACTTTTGGGCGGTACGAAGTTCGCCGAGTCAGCTAGTATTTTATATTTTATTTAATGTATCGTGACTCTTTCTCATTAATGGTACTGTGAGCCACGAGCGCACATTAAGGAGTGGTAATAAATTCCAAACTATTTTCTTCGTCTTTATTGACGGAGCGACATAAAACCCATTTTAATGTCTACTTAATAATTTAATGAGTCAAACATTTTTATTTGTTTGTTTCAGCGCTGAGTTCGCCAACTAGAACACGTACGAGTGTATTGTATACGAACTAAGGCGCCTTTCCCATCTATTCGTTTCGTTTTCGTGTCTATGCCGAATCTGTACATTATTCAATATTTTAATGCTCTGTACCCTTAGTACGAGTTTTACATTTACGAAAACTACGATAGTTTTCGTGAGCTCGCACTCGTACTAAGGGTACTGATTTTATTGTTATCGTTTCAAACAAATGAACAGTGTTTAAATTCTATCATTAAAATCATTTGCGTCTCCTTAAATTTTAAGTATATTTGGTTACTTCTCAACAAAATGGACATAGTAACATAATTTACAATTACGAAACCTATGATAGTTTTCGTGAGCTCAAACTCGTACTAAGGGTACTGTTGTAAATCAGAGTTGTTACCGCAACGTTCCTAGCCGCATCCTTTCTACAAAGTTTGATTACCGACAAAGTGTATTTGAAATTTAAAATTTTAAAGTTTGTAGGGCTACTATTCAATAAACATAAAACTACGAAACATCTCAGCTCAGCGCTGTTCTTCAAACTCCGAGTCACCAAACGTCCCTTGTAATGGCGCTTGTAATCTG